GTGGACTGTTGTACATGACATTTGGCGTCGGGGGTCCCGCGTTCACGTACGGAGACTGCGGGGGCAACTGATACACGATAGTGGGCGGCGGTTGTGCCAAAACAATAGTGGCGTTACGGGCACTGACCGCACCCATAAGGGCCGGTCGTGTTGCGCGGCACCGACGGATAGCACTGGCAAATGATGTGGCAAAACAACTGCACAGGAAGAACCATCCGGTGAGAAACCAGATGGCATTATAGCCAGTATATAGAGCCGGCAGAACGCTGACAATGAAAGCGATGATCATGATCAGTCCGTATATTATGCACACGCAGTAGTTTGTCTTGTAGGCGCCCCATATGCCCATCAATTGTGTGACAATCGCAACCGTGAAGGCGCTGATCATTATAATTTTGACGGTATGCTTGAAATACAATTAATTGTAAATATTTAAATTATCAAGGTGCTATTTATGTTATAATTAATTACCTCATTGAGTCCCGCGATTCTCAAGATATAGTGGTCATTTGGTAGATTGAATTCCTTTACTGATAGAATTAATATGACTATTATGGACACCATACCAATCAAACACATGGTAAACAGTGTCCATTTTCTGCATGTTAATCTACTGTCCATTGCCCCGCGTTGGCGATGGGACATAGTATTGACTTTTTAAATAAGTATTAAATTATAATATAAATTCATTTACTGTCATATTAATTAAACAAATAATTAAATATACTATATAACTAACCAATTCTAACAAAAGCAATAGAAAATAACATCAAACAATTTCCTTACATTTTAATATAGAAAATAGACTTTGATTATTTCAGTTAAACAATAGCTCACTTTATTACTACGCAAATGTGCATAAAAAAACTGATGATAACTTTTAAACCGTTGCGATTAGATACATTTAAAAACTTATAAGTGGTTTGTGATGATGGGTTTAACATTTTTTAAAAATTACTTATTTGCATAGTGCATATATTAAAGTGGAATAGATTTATACATTACTTATTTTACCTTAATAATATGTTATTATTACACAGTACAATAGCTAATTTTGTCTATGTGTTAGTTTCGGTATTCTTCTAATGTATTAAACTTACATTATTATATTATTTGTAATTTATACTTAACTTTAGTTTTATTACAATGCATCTAATCTGCCTTTTATGTGATAGCAAGCAAGATATCATAAGTTTCATTTTAATACAATTTGAATTTCTAACATTTAATATATCAAAAAATTTAATTTATCACAATTTTTTAATCTGATGCTTAATATAATTAATTATACAGTATAGTGCAAACATGCATGTTAAAACGTAAAACAATTATTAATTATTTTGTGACAATCCTCTGGAATTACTCATGTCTTATAATATAAGAAAAAGGGATTTAAATAACTAAAAATTAAGCTTAAACTGTAGTCGTATTGTTTATCGGTTGTGTTGCATAAGGCAAAGGCTCAACTAGCTCATTAGCTTGATCATGATTGTTTTGTTGGCTTGTTTTGATTACAGGGTACAATTGTGTCAACACTTTTGACAACAAATTTGCAATAAAACCATTTGTATAATAAAATCCAGTTGAGATAAATATGATGTAAATTCCAGTGAGAATGGCCAGCATAAGACTCAAAGCACCGCACATTGACATTACTATACCGTATACTTGTATGAGCACGTATTGGCACCGATCGCGTGGCTTTACGGCCACAAATATGCCCAAACACGAGCCCACAATTCCCACCACTCCTACAGCTATGTGCAAAAAGTATACCCTTTCCTAAATTCACCATCATTGCAAATATAATTAATTATTTAACTAAATATATCAATATTAACATATTGTTTTTTGCTTACTTTAAAACTTTCATTTGTATTGCCGTACAAATCGGTTATTAATTTAAGAGTAAAATTAGTTGTGATTGTGATTATTATTGCAACAATTGTTGTGATACTGGCCAGAGGTAGCAATACGAACATGGGACATTTTAACCAATAGCTATTTTCCCATTTCCAATACATTACAATAATTTTCTGTAGCTTTAATTAACTCAAAATTAAAACAAATAATAGATAATTCTGTACTTAAATAACTATTTCCAGGCAATAGTGATTACTTGTATATATTACCAGAAGTCCACAAAACAATAGAGGTAATTTTTTAGAATAAATAATGACATAAAAATATAGTTAAATTTATATTTGATTGTGATGCAAAGTATTATTGACTACAATTTAAAGATGACAATTGAAAATAAACTTAAGACATTGGTCTTTAGTACATTGGTGATTTTTAAAATTACCTCTATTCTCTTATTTATTACGTAAGACATAGCAATCTTGTTGTTCATCTCGCATAACCAGAAATTAATTGTTATAAAATTAAATAACTTTATGACAATTATAGCAATTAAAAACTGAGGAATAAATTATTTGATTACAAATAATTATTTATTTTGTTTTATTATAAACATTATGCAGAATATTAGAATATATGACAATAGATTAATATTTTATCAAGATTTAAAATATCATTGCCAACGTTTAATAAATGTCAGGCAAATAAAGTGTCATTGATCAATTTATTAAAATTGTTTTAATAAATAAAATCACAAATATTTATCAAAAATTAGAAAAACAGTCGAACATCTATGTTATCAACAAAAAGGTTCCAGATCATTTGGTTGATAACATAGATTAGTTGACAACATAGAGATAATTTTAACGTCAGCTATATGTGGTGGGTATTTGGGGTTTGGTTGATAACACTGACAGAGAAGTTGGCAGCATAGGAGGTTGACAGCATAGAAGTTTGACTGTATGCAAATATATAATATCTGTATTAAACAATCAAATAAAATTTTATATAATTGTATAAAAAATAAAAATTTGTATTTATAGTAATAGTGTAAATATAATTAGGCACCGGATGAGGCTGATGAAGTGGGAACGGGGAAAACCACATTATCTGTTAACACATTAGTTGATTCATAGGCAGGATTCTGAAGCCCCTGTACTTGTGCTGTGATTGGAAACAATTGGCTCATAACTCGGGCCAAATAGTTAGCGCAAAAACTGCTGATAAAATACAGTGCAGTCAACACGAAAACAATGTACATGCCGGACAAAATGGCCAAGGTGATACTCGTGCCCCCGCATATGCTCATCAAAATGCCGTAACATTGTATTAGAAAATACTGGCACCGGTCGCGTGACTTGAACGACACGAGTATGCCCAAACACGAGCTCACCGACCCGATCACCCCGATTACTATGTGCAACACATAAACCCTATCCTAATAAATATACATTTTATACATTTAGTATAGAAGTTGTAGTTATAAGTAAAAGTACAACTTTAATACATACGATAAATTGCTGGCTGCTGATACCATTGAATTCTGTTGCCTCTTTGATATGAAAATCAATGACTATGGTGATTACGATGGTCATTATGGTGTCCACAGTGGCAAGTGGCAATAATACCCACTTGGGACTTTTAGTCCAGTAGTGATTTCTCCATTGGCATAACATTGTGATGGTTTAATGTGTGAATCAGATTTTGTTTATTAAAATTACATTTATATAAAAAATACAACTAAATTATTTACACAAACACTAGACATAAACTAAATGATGATAACTATAAAATACAGACATTTTGTTTACTTCAGTGAAAGCATATTTATTTATACATTTGGTGTCTATTTTGATTGTGACAAATAGTTTAGTAACACTACAATATGATTATGGCATAAAAATGTCATAAATATCTCACAAGAATGACATTATATTTATAACGACAGCAAAAATCACATATGATTTCATTAGAAACATGACGATCACAAAAAAGCTAATGGTTTTGCATAATTTGGTGCAAAAATAAATTTATTTACAGCAGTAGAGTAGTAGTGAAATCAAATTACTAAGCACTTATAGCATTTCATTTAATCATGATCAGTAAACTAAACGATTTTATTGACTTAACAGTTGATAACTAGCTTACATTATAGTTTATTAACAAACAAACATAATTAAGTCAAACATGTTTGATTTTGCTTACTATAAACTAGTTGCTTTAATGTGGTTGTTTATCAAAATAGTTATTTTACTGAAATGTATTTGTAAAAAGAAAAACAAAACATATGAGAATAAAACATTTAACGTTTAACAATAATTAATTGTCATAAAATAAAAACTACACCAACACGATCATTTACATGTCTACGGCTGCCATACCTTTACCGGTGGGGGTATTGTATGACTGACAACACAATCACCATTTGAATCATAACCATAATTAACATTAGCAACGGATTGAGCATAAGTTGGCGGCTCATCGGCCCTGACGTTTGGTGCGCTAAAAGTGGGCACACGATAGGCTGGTGTAACGATGACCATATCGGGCGACTGATGGGGTTGCGGGCACTGGCGTCGAGTGGCTATGACCACCTGCCCGAATGCGATTTGGCGCAGGCGGCGTATGTGGTGGGCCAGAGTCAGGGCAAACATACCGGTCATTAAGTAGATGATAATAAGCGCCCACAGGAACTGATAGCCGGGTATTAGACCCCACGCGATGGCGAAGGCGCCGATGAAACACTGGGCGGTGCCGTACGCGCCCATCAACATGTAGGTCTCCCTACGAACGGCCCATAGGCCCAGAAATTGGGCACATATACCCACCGAACCAATTATGATCACGATCACTTTCTGTACAATAAAATAAATAAAAGTTATATCAAATGTTTTAAAAACTATTACAATTATTTAATTAAAAATATACTGTACATTAGGACTCCAGGTGTAGTAATAATAATCCAGTATGATTTGCTCGCTGGTCATGTAGTTAGTGGCGGCTAAGCTCACGACTATTATGCCGATCAACAGATCCACACAACACAGGGAGACGACTGTCCACTGGAGGCTCACAAAGCGTCGGTCCTTTTGAAGGGCTGCCGGCGGTTCCGGTGTTCGGACTACCGGTGCGTTCATTCTTTTAACAACTGATATTTCTTACGATTGTTTTGTCGTGTTATAAAACTCTACTGAATCGTACATTCATTGGGTACTTATGGTTGTAAAAACGCTTACTTATTCATTTTGGCTCTCTCTCTCTCTCTCTCTCTCTCTCTCTCTCTAAGAATTGATCAAGAATTTATTACAATAATAATTATATTAGATACTCATATACCTGTGTATAAGTGTAGTAATTATTGCTAATAGTGTGGTAATAAAACATAAGAATTCTATGTAAAAACCAATACATTATTCAGCAATTTACAGTATATCGTATACATAATTAAGTTAACCAATAATAATTATTTAAAACCATATTTATTAGTTCAAATATTCGTTAAATAACTATTTATATTGTTTTTATTATTATGTTTCTCACTTTACGTTTATATTTAACTTTTGGATAATAATTTTTGTAGGCAAATTAATTTGCGTTTGTAATTGCGTTGAGAATCTTTTTCCTACCGGCACCCGACCCATGGCCTCCTTTGTGCCCTTTGTGCGCCTTTTTGGCCAATTTGCCCTGGGCCTTTTCACTAGACTTTGACTTTGAATTGAGCGTGTTAATCGATTGCAATGACTTGTCCTGAGAGCCCTCCTCTAAGGTTCCCTTTTTATTCTGATTCTCTATTATTAGACAAAATAATTATCAGTTTTAGTGCTGTTTTTCATTGAATATAACATATAAACAGGTTTTTCGCGGTTATTATAAATACTAACTCTTTTTAGTTGCAAAGTATATGCAAAACACAATCCTGTGCTCTTAATAGTGTTGTTTATGCCGGTATTGATAGGGATACTAGCCGTTTATCGCGAGCAAAAACAACCAACTTACTTTTCGTAACGAGCGTAAACACCAGTTATTAGGGCTTGATTAGCAACTTTTTGAATCTGTCGTTATCTCTACCATTGGTTTATCAGTACTGACTGCCGGGCCTTCAGTTTGGGATTTGGTCACCGATGCGGTCGACGCTTCTGTTGATAGCATTTTGGTGGTCGTAGTGTCTGTCGGGCCTACAGTCGCGGCTTCAGACGGGACTCCAGTTTGGGTCGGAGGCGACGGTTGCCCCGCGCCTACTGTTTGGGCCGGAGTCGGGGCTTCAGTCAGAGCTACAGTTGGGTTCGCACTCTGGGATACAACCGGTGCCACAGTTGAGACTTGAGTGGTCGCCTCAGGCAAAGCTCCCGTCACTGCCGGTGTTATAGTCAATATCGGCGGCGAATTAGCGTTCAATTGTGGACAAGAGATCAACACATTTAAGCGATTGGTTGAACACTATAATTACAAGACATACAATAAAACCTTTGCCTTTATATCAACGGCACATACCTCTGGCACTGTAGCGCCGGTCGCGTCACTGGGCGTTAGACACCACTTCGGGCCCGACTTATCATCAAATATAACCGCGTATTTGCCGACGCTATGCATCGGGAAAATGATATTTATGTGAAGACTTTTATCCAATTTGTCAATAAATTTGGGAATTTTGTCAGCAAATGACGCGCTTTTATCGATCAAGGAATTGAACACGTCGTTATAGCCGTACACTCTGGTCACCCTATCGTACAGCGCATTACCCGTCGACTTCTGTTGTTATTATTTGTGGTGACTTGGCCGGAAGTCCAGGCCCGGCAGCTCCCCAGGTTTTCGATTGCTGCCGAACTTGACACGCCGGCGGCGGCGGCAGCCCATGGTCTCCAATCGGTAGTAACGGAAAAAAGACGATCCGATTTGTTTTAGATCAATAGCCGCTCTGTCCTCCTGAAGATCATTGTGTTTGCGATTAAAACAGGTATTTCATGGATAGTAATAGTGTGTAAAGTTATGATTTACTTTATAAAAGGCTGACCAACTGTCCATATTTTTGTCTACATAAACAAAACTCATCTCATATTTGTGGGCAAACGATGACACTCTGGTGACCGTCGGTGACATCACAAGTTGGCCACCAGTGCTATCGCATGTGACTCTTCGCGAGTTGTTCCCGATGTACGCCAATTGAAACATATCGGCGCTGAAGTGATCGTCGGAACCGAAGTCAAATCGGTGTCCGTTTGCGGCCCATTCGGCGCAAAATTCATCGGTCGACTGTCCATTAGTTACCTGTGCTCTAAGACTTGTTATGATTAACACTGAAAATACAAATAATGTGTTATTTTGTTAATTGATTAATATTTTGTTAAAGCGTATAATTAATACCAAAACACAAAATCTTCTTTAAACATAATCTGATTATTAAATTATAGATAAAATCCATTTGCAATGTTTTGGTCAACAGATAATAGTTATTTTGTTAAGTTTTTATTTCACTTATTTAAATTGAATAAATTGTTAATTCAATTAACGTTAATTAACAATAGTGTTGCTAAATCATGCATACAATCATTTATAAAATTACCAAATGCTAAACAATACAATTGTGTCAAACAAACAAACAAAACACAAACTAAAGAGTTTTATGAAATAAAGTCGTTATTACTTGACATTAAATTTCATATCCAATAAATTGATCTCATTTTGCAAAAGACATGATTTTAATTGCAATTTTGTTGAGCATTGGTTGCATTGAATGCAAATCTTCATGCGATTTGATGACTACGAACGGCAAATACAATGGCATTCGTATACATCGGAAATGGGAGACATTCGGTGTTAAACTAGGGCATAATAAATGTGTGGACAAATATATGATGTACTCAAAGACAAGGGAGTGGCAGTTCGACATAAAAAAGAACACAAGTAAAACACTCCGGGTGTTTGCAATGGACTTTGTCAACCCTATTGCGACCAGTTCTGATGGTAAACAATCCATCAATCTATACTCTGGATGTGTTTCGCACCCAAAAACATTGGGCCATGGGCGGGATAGCTTTGAATGTCAAGTTTACGATAATGTATATAAAGTATTACAAGTTATACATGAGATTATGTATTAATTTATATTATTTGTCGACAAGTATGGAAACCACTCGTTTGACGTCAAATGTGAAATCCCGAAACACAGAGATAAAGATATTACAAAAACCGTTCAGTTTAAGGGAAATGGCATTATATTCAGTCCAACGGTTGTCCAAAATAGTACAGTCCACAGTATTGATAGTATGGCCGCAGTGTTGGACACACATAACGGGTCCGTTCAGAATATTTGGTTTAGTTATGACGGCAGTAAAAGCTCTATTACTGTCAATTGCACTGTCGGTGATTGCAATGGACAAGAATTTGTGAACAAAATACACAATAAAATGTTGAAACATTTGGAGGGAATTGTGGACTACGAGGTCAATGAAGAAAGGGGACACTTGTTATGGTTTAACATCTCAGGTCAGCCCCGGTATTGCTTCACACCTGAGGGCAAACCGTTTTCAGATGAGGTATTTTAGAAACACTTTAAATGAAACAAATTATTAACAATTGATTTACACATTAATGAAGTGCTCATCCATTGAAAGCTTGCAATACTTTGAAAGTCATTGTTTCAAACAAAAAGACAATGACTTTCCCGTCGCTCTAATCATAGCAATAGTGATTGTTATACTATTGATTGGTTGTATATTTCTTGTCTATATTCTGGCCATTAGTTATAATCCACGCCAAGAGAAGAATTCAGTTAGTAATAAGTTTCCCACAGTTGTGTCTTATAGTACTCAAGAGAACACTATCTCTACCGTTGAACACACGAAGACTGAGGACTCGTCAGCGAAGACAGTGTCAGCAAAAGGTGTCAAAAAATAGGCCATAAAAAGAGATTATTCTTTCTGTTTATTTAAATTGTAATTTATATAAATTTTCTAATATTGACTTTTATTAATTGTAGAATTTAAATGTTGAAATGTTTTTTATTTATATCCATTTAAAATCCAAATTAGTTTTATTGATTTATTAGTTAAAGTATTTGTTTATGATTTGATTTGATTATAAACACAATAAATTGTAATTCATTTTTTGTATATATTTTTTTAATTAAAATCAATACATTTGGCATTAAAAGTTATAAATTTCATAACATGTGCATCACATAAATAATTATTGTTTTATTTAAATACTCGGCGCAAAATTCATCGGTCGACTATCCATTAGTTACCTGTGCTCTAAGACTTATTGTGATTAACACTGAAAATACAAATAATGTGTTATTTTGTTCATTGTTTCATATTTTGTTAAAACATTTAATTAATACCAAAACACAACATCTGTTTTAAACATAATCTGATCATTAAATTATAGATAAAATCCATTTGCAATGTTTTGGTGCAACAGATTATAGTTAATTTGTTTAGTTTTTATTTCAATCATTTAAATGGCATAAATTGTTTAATTTAATTAACGTTAATTAACAATAGTGTTGCTAAATAATGCATACAATTATTTATAAAATTACCAAATGCTAAACAATGCACAAACTAAAGAGTTTTATAAAATAAAGTCGTTATTATTTAACATTAAATTTCATATCCAATAAATTGATCTCATTTTGTGAAAAACATGATTTTAATTGTAATTTTGTTGAGCATTGGTTGCATTGAATGCAAATCTTTATGCGATTTCATGACTACGAACGGCAAATACGATGGCATTCGTATACATCGGAAATGGGAGACATTGTTTAATCTAATCTCGTTTAATGAATGTACGAACAAATATATGATGTACTCAAAGACATCGAAGTAGCAGTTCGACATAAAAAAGGATCCAAGTAAAACACTCCGGGTGTATGCCATGGACTCTGTCAACCATAATGTGACCAGTTCGGGTGATGAACAATCTATTAATCTATACTCTGGATGTGTTGCGCACGGATGGTTTCAACATAAACATGATAGCTTTGATTGTAAAGTTTACAATAATGTATATAAAGTATTGTAAGGTATATATGAGATTATGTATTAATTTATATTATTTGTTGACAAGTATGGGAACCACTCGTTTGACGTCAAATGTGAAGTCCCGCGATTGACCGATAAAGAAATTATAAACACCTTTCAGTTTAACGGAAATGGCATTATATTCAGTCCAACGGTTGTCCGCAATAATACAAAGAGTAGTGATAGTGTGGCCGCAGTGTTGGACACACATAAAGGGTTTGTTCAGAATATTATATTTAGTTGG